GGAAAGACAGAATTATGATAAAAATCAACTTGTGCAAGCTGCAATCCAACATGCTTCACCAAATCTCAACAAATATTAAGACAAAACTGCACAACAGTGGCAAGGATGTGTATTTTTTAAACAAAAAGTAAATAAGGGCTCATCTAAATAGATTTTGTACTAATTTAATTAGATTGGTAGCTACAGATCACATTTACTGAAAAAACCCCACTATTTTATATATAGCTTTATATTGGAGCTATATAAATCCACATTGATGATTAAGAAAGACATTTCAGCTAAAATTTCTCGTAAAAGTTTTTAGTTAAATTAACATAAGAGTTTTAGACCTCCCTAATTTTACATGCAGTGTGACTCAGTTACCAAAAATCTTCCAGTAATCTTGAGATTACTTCCATTTGCTCAAGGTATGCTATCCACTTTTGCTACGTTCTTCATATATAATCAAGAGCGTCTAAAACGTGCAAATAACTAACTCGTCTCCAAAAGGTTTTAACCTTGGAAGCTATAAAATGTTTTGCAACATTAAGCATCTGTTCTTACTCCTTATTGTTCCTTATGATATAAGGTTAGATTCTCCTATTACTGTTCTTCAGAATATTTCATAATCTAAGGTCTATTTCACATCGAAGCTGAAACAAGGGGAGGGGGTCTGGGTTTTGGTGGAGGGTGTGGAGCGGGAGGGGCAGGCAGGGAAAGGCATTATTTCTGTCGGCCACGCTGAAATTAAAAAAACCTCACAGCAATCCAGATAGTATACGTCCCCTGCCAGCTTCACAGCTCTCCACCTACAAGAATCACTGTGGGTTTTTTTTTTTTTTTTTGAAGAAGCAAAAGAATACTCTTCTCATGCAGTTGCACCTTTGACATCATATAAATGGTCCAAGTTACACAGGTATATGAAAATTGTACTGTGTAAAGTTTCCACATCATTGTTTAGGTATACCTTAGGTTAGGGCAATGCTGCTACTCCCTGTTCCAAACTTTCCCGTGTCCTGAGCTATCCTACTTCAACGTCTCGTGTTTTATTTTTTTCAGGTACACCAGAGTCACATTTTCAAATTTTACTCTGCAGCTGAGTTAGGTACTCTGAAGAAGCGTACCTTCAGGAACCCGGGCCCTAATGAAACAATCAAACAATGCAACATTTACAGTAAGACAACAGGAACTGGCAACACCGGAATTACTGGCTCTTACTTTAGTGCAGAATAACTAGACTACTGCAGTACCAAAAATGAAAGCTGCTGCAAAAATTCTGCATTAATTCCAATCAGGAAAAAAAAAAGGGGGGAGGGGTCACAAAAGAACTTAATCACAGAGAAAGACAACATTAAAATCTTGGTCTAGCTTCATGACAGTCTAGACACTGGAATGCCACTCACCAACCATTTAATCTGTGCAACAAAACTAGTACTTCACGAACATCACACAAACAACATTGACTCTGGAAACCATGTTCTATGCTGACGGTTTGTGCAAATTCCACACCATTTTTTATGGCATAGTGGATTTCCAAATTATTTGCATGAAGCAGCTAAACTCAACTCATTCATTCACTCATCTGATATTACCAGAATTTAAAATTCCTCCCGTTTTGCACAAAATGGGCATCTGGAAATATTTCATGCCACTCTTGGGGAAATGGGTTTACTTCGCTATATAATTTAGGATTCATTCTGATTTAATTCTTATGGTAAATTCTGGATCCATGTATGAATTAACCTAAGAATTTGAATCAACTTATCTGTTAAGGCTTTCTAGTATTCCTAGAGACACTAAGGGTGAAATCCTGTACCTACTGAACAAATCTAAAGATTTGCCACTGAGGGTCAGGAGAGCTAGGATTTCACCTTGGTCTTCAGACACAAAACGTTAGTGGAAGTCAAAGCAATGCATTAACAATAGCAAATCAACCTAATCAGAACTTTTACTTTTTCCATTGCCAGATGTGCATTGTTGTCTTTTTTTAATTTTTCTTTTTTTTATAGAAAAAATAGAGTATTTAAGGAGTGACCGTGACAAATTGCAGTGAAAAATTTTTTTGTGAAAGTTTTATCTTTACATTCATTAAAGTTGATCTGAAATGCTACAAGACTAGATGCCTAGAAGCAAAATCTACAGGAAGACTATAAAGGCTTCTGGTCTCTCTATATTGCAGTCAGTCTACAATAAAAGAAAGGCTGAAATTAAAGTCTCTTTTGCTAACTAGTCCTTTTTCCCAACCAGATTTAAAAACCAAAAAATTAAAGAGGATGTTAGAACGTGTAGAGCATCATTTCATTGTTTGGTTTGCACACAGAACAGAAGTTCACAATCAGTAAGAAAAATAGGAAGTTAGCAACTATGCATGCACCAAAGAGTCCTAAGACAGTTCTCAGGTTGTGTGTGTGTGGTTTTTTTGTTTTTTTTTTGCTGTTATTGATGGGTTTTGTTTTTTGTTTTGTTTTTTTTCACAGGCATTGCTAGTTCAAGAACCAACAGTCAAAGAATACTGGCACTTTAAGAGGAATGAAGTTTCCACTGTCATTTAAAACAAGCATTCAGGTAAAGCTAACAGGATCATGAAGCAGAAAGTAAAGTAATGCTAAAACAAATGCTAATAATTTAGTGTAATGTACAAAAATTACTTAAGTACTTCTTAAGAATAAGGATAAATTGTATTTACATAATTATACACTTTGTCTTTGTCTTCTTTTTCTTCTTTTTACCATCTTTGCTCATCTTCTCTTTGTGTTTTCTGATTTCTCGAACTAATGTATAGAAGGCATCATCAACACCCTGAAAAGATACATACATGCACACATTAAGATCACATTAACAGATTTACACGTCTGCTTAGGTGCAGCCTGTTTTCATCTGACCTGATCGGGTGAAGTGTGTTCAATCAGCAGTCTGTTTCGCTGCCTGCCAGGAGAGGTTACACTGTCTTCTCCTTGCTAAGGCTTTTACGATGTCCCTTTGAGTAGGCTGTAGGTTGGAGGAATTGCTGGGGCAACAGTCCTCTCAAGCATTCCTGTTTCTTGGGAAGGGGCATGCTGGGAAAAACACATTCAGCTGGAAGGGGAACTACAGTTGTCTCCCGTCATGTAAGAGGAATGTGTCTGGCTGCATTACTGTGCATGGGCAGAAGGGCCTGCAGGAGAGCAGCTTTGGGGAGTGGGCTGCCATCATTGAAACAATTAACCCTGGCTACAGGCTGTTCCTCTCCCGATTTCTGAGGAGCACTGAGACAACAACCTGAATGAACTGTTTTGACACCAGCAACAGCTAGCCCCTGCCTGCCCTCTTTCTCAGCTGTTCCCCAAACGGGGCTTACAGCAGCCTGCAGGTGACATACTGCTCAGGGGTTGACCACAGATACGCCATAGGTCCAATTCCATTACTAATGTGGTAAGGAAGGTAATTTAGTGTGCTGCCCTCTTCTCCATCTCGAAGAAGGCACATGTTGTCCCACCTCAAACTAGCAAAGTATAGGTACCACACGTTTAGATTATAAGTATCTATATTATTAGTATAAAGTTCTGAAGCATTAGCTAGCTTTGTTTATGCCTTAATAATCTATATGCATCTTTAAAAAGTAAATACAAATATTTGTAGCAAGAATTCAATACCAAAGAGATAGTTATGATTAATCTACATATTCAGGCCATTTCAGGCACACTGGTACAGTAATCACACCACAGTTTAATGAGTCTTTACATACGCAAATCAATCCCACGTTCCAATGATAATTTATTATTTGATAAATCATGCTATTCGAATTACATAGTTAGACACATGGAACACATTATCTATGGTGCTTTATCATGTACGGTCACTTAAAGTCTCCACGCTCTAATAGTTAAGCTACAGACACAAAAGCTAATGTTTCTTCACGTTGAGTAGTTTTTCATTTTTTGGGGCATATAGCTGACAAAAATTAACTCTGGTCAAAAGAGACCAGCATATCTAAAAGCCTGATATGAACCATTACCAAGTACAATGTTATACGGTATACTTCGTAATAACCTATTTATGTGAAACAGTTTATTCTATTGCCTAGCTTTCAGGTTGCTCCAAATTCCAATCAAGTACCCATGTTCTCAGCCAGCCTTTACATTTAATAGTTCGAGTACTGACAGTTATAAAATCATTAAGATAAGAAAGTGATCTTGATTCTTCACTGCCTTAGTCCTTGTATTATCTTATTAGACAGATCAGGAATAGTTGTATAATGTTAATGCGTCACAGCAGCCAACTGCCCCACTATAGAACTGGGTCTAGAAATTTAGCCCTACAACTGACAGGCAGCTTCCTACCTCTTGTCAGCTACTGAGTTTGCCTTCAAGCTGCCAATAAAAATTAACAGTCTCTGCTTACTCCTGTATGCCTACCTTCAGTAAAAGAACTGAAAGTGAACTCTGAAAAAAGCACAACAGCAAAAAGCCAAAAATCACCTAATTCATTACTGTTTCAGTCAAACACCAAATGGTGATGAAACTTAATATGGAAAGTCCAAACAACAGTGAGGTGTTAAATAGCTTTGCTTACAAAGCAACACTCCTGGTACAACCTAAATTTATTCAAAACCTTCACATTCAAGTTCATAAAAAAATTTACAAATAACCGAAGTTCGATCAAAGTCCTTGGCAGCCTATGTCCCAATAGTAATAGCACACTTTTGCAAGGTCTTGTAATACACAAAATACACTTGCAAATAACTTATTCTCCATTTTAAAATGTTACTGATCAATATAAAATCGATGTAGCATGCCTAATGGAAGAGTAGCCTTGGTTCTAGAAAAGGTCATGTCCCCCATGAATCTTTTGAGAATTAAAAATGCTTGGTATTATTTTACAGCAAGCTAGTGTATTTTCCTTATGACTTCAGCATTAACACACAAAGTGAACATTTAGCAA